AAAAAAGAATAGTTAGAAATCATGTGTTCAATTTACAGTTACCAAAAGAGTGTGATATTATTATCAGTTGAGGTGAAATTCAAGCAAGTGAAATCATTTAATTGAGTCAACGAAGGGCATTTTGCAGTATTTAAGAGTAGAGTACACTGAAGATATAACAGTTACAAAATCTATGTAGCAAATAACATAATATTAGCATCTGTAGGACAAAATCTACAAAAGTTATAAGAAAAAGAAACAGAAACACCATATATGTTGTTCTGTGCCACCAAATCAATCCTGCTGCATAGTGACCCTATGAAATACAGTAGAACTTCCCCATAGGGTTTCATAGGCTATAATCTTTACAGAAGACGACCACAAGGTCTTTTCTCCTTCAGAGTGGCTGGTGGGTTCAAATTGCTGACCTCTCAGTTACCAGCTAAGCACTTAACAACTGTGCCACCATAGCTCCTTTAGGTTAATATAGATGATGTAAACAGCATTTAATAAAGTATATTATTCTTATATAAAAACCAGTTGCCATCTAGTCTCGTCCAACTTCAGGTGACCCTAATTGTGTCAAGGTAGAAATGCACTACACAGGGTAGTCAGTGGTTGATTTTTCCTAAGTAGATCACAAGGCCTTTGTTTGGAGGCACTCTTGGTAGACTCAAACCTCTAAATTTTCAGCTAGCAACTGTGTACTTAACTCTTTGCCCTACCTAGAGACTCCCATTCATATATCAGTATCTGTATTTATATCTCATATCTATCAGGGACTTTATGGTGTCTGAGCGGCAACCTGCTCCAGAGCTTATGCTTCTAACTGAGATTTCATTCACCCACATTGACCTTAGTTTTGATCCGGGAACTTGCTAAGATCCCTGCCCTCCCAGAGCTTGAGAGTGGTTAAAGCATTTTCTTGCTATCCAAAGGTCAGTGATTCGAACTCATCAGACACTCCATGGGACAAAGATGAGGCGATCTGCTTCTTATAGGTTTATAGCCTTAGAAACCCTGTGGGGAGTTCTGCACTGTCCTATAGGGTGATTATGAATCAAAATAAACTTGATGGCATTGGGTTTGGTTTGGGTTAGATTTTGAGAGTTGCAACCAGAAGCAGTGATCCTCTCTGTCTCACTCCTTGACTTTTTAAAGAAAATAATTCCTCACATTCTCTGATCCTTATAAGTTGGCAGACAAAGCTGAAATTTCTTGTTATTGATCTCACTGAGGATTAGGATTCTCATTTTGCAGATGGTGAAAACCAGGCAAAGGGAAGTTGAATCACCTTCCCAAGGCTAGGAAGTGCAAAAGAGTCATGGGCTTACAGTTGTGCTGTCCCAAACCATCTGGCCAGGATGGGCACACACATGCTTACCTTCCCTCTGCTGGGTAGCGGCAGCTCCCCATTCACCCTTAGGATGTCCAGGCTGTCCACAAGATTTCATACTCACTGGTACTCACAGATCCGTTGTGCCACCCAGCCCTTAATAGGCTCCTGGGCCTGTGGTCTCCAAAAATCCTAGTGTTATAAAAAATTAAATATTGACTCTTTCTCTTTTCATTCTTTGTATAACAATCCTAATCCTCCCTGAGGCAAATAGATGCCTCTGGCAAAACAAGGAATAGGTAATTCTCATGGAAATGCAAATACAAAACAGAACGTACACACACACACACACACACATAATATATTTCAAAAGTATCCTTCCATGCATCTGATCTTTGATCCAGCAATCCCATTTTTTTTTTTTTTTAATTAAGGGAGAAGGATTTCCAACAGAAA